GCCTTCAATGAGTATGCTAATATAATCCATACTGTTTTTAAAAATGCGTATAAAGCTTGTCCTGTTTTTTGGTCTCAAATGTCCCAGTTTCAATCTCAAGAGCCCCAATACAATTTTCAGGTCACCTAGAATGTCTGATTCATGAGGGTTTAAACACTAACTCTGAGTACATAGTAAAAGTAGTATTTAAAGTTGTGTTTTAAACAACTATGAGACCATCCTGGACAGGCTTTTCATATGCTTTCAACACTTGCCACAGGAACCATAGAATATATACCCTGCCTGCACCAGCATAATTTCTATCCCCATTTTACATCTTTACATGTATTTAACTATAACTTGAACTTAATATCTCTTTTTAAAACATACATCTGTACTACAAAATATATTTACACATATAGTCTCCTTCAACTTTATATGTTTTGAGTTTTCCACTTATAACTCCAGTTTATTTGAATATGTGGATAGGGATGATACATTCCTGGGTGATCAAAATTAATTTCTGTATTATATTTGAACATGAATGTTTCAACATATCTTGCAGAAAATGAAGCACAGTAATGAATTTGCATTAAAATTTAAGGAACGTTCTAAATTATACCAATATCTTTTTTTTTAATCACTCATTTTAGAAATAAGGTCTTTCCTCATTGCCACTCAATACCAAAAGTAAGCAGAGCATCACTCCTTGAAATTTTCTGTGGAGAAAGAAACTAGCTGAGTTTAGCATTTCCAAAGGCTTTTTGCTACACAAAATAACTCGAGTGGCCATTTATTAAGGTCCCACTATATGCCAGATGGTGGGCTAAATCAGTTGCTAATCTTCACAACAGCTCTATGATAATCTAAAAATGGTAGGGATCCACTTTTACAGATAAAGAAAAATAATATCAGAGTTATGAAGTAATTTGTCCAAGTTTATGCTGTTTGTTGAAAAGCAAAGCCAAGATGATGAACTTGGATCAACTTCATGTCAAAGCCCACTACATTATTTTGCCATAAATTATGAGCGTAAATGACATGAAATGTCAACTAAGAAGGTAAATGAAGTACTATTCATATACATGAATGTAATTAAGTAATATCTATAATCAATAAAACTACAGGCCAAATTTCCTTGAATACATCCTTAATGAAATTAAAAATTACTTCTGGGCTATTTATTTTAATAAAATTTTGTAAACTTTCCAAACAGTATTTACAAATTTGTGCTCTAAGCATTTAAAACACAAATCCCAATTCAATAAGTTCTAGAAAATCTCCTTTTTTCTCAAGTGTTTACCTTGAGCAATTAACAACTTAAGATAAAACAGATAAAATGGTTAAATTACATTTGAGCAGGAATATATTTAAAGAGGGCTATAAACTCAATATGCCTATATACTCAATATGCTCATTTATATCTTTATTTTAAGATGCAGATTTAGAGAGAGTTTCGTGAATTATTTACTTTTATTTTCTGCATTTAAAATATTATATAGGTAAAGTGAATAGAAAGCACATACACATAATTTAAAGGAGGCTGCCCATCAAAAAGAAACATTTTTAATACTGATCTTTAAAGAATATTTTTCCATTTACTTGAATAAGGTTTAGAAAACAAAATACATCTGACAGGTAAATATGGAACAAAGTAAAACAAATCAACTGTCAGAAAGTCACAACAACAACTTAAGTAAAGACATTTATTACAGGAAAGACCAAAACAACAGCACTGTTTCTGTGTAATTAGGATTATATTATTATAAATATTCTTCATTACAGTTTTCTGTAAAATGTTTTTAACACTATTCAGATAACCAGTGATAACCAAGAAAATCGAAAATGGATCTAAAAAGGTTGGAAATGGCCGGGTGCAGTGACTCAAGCCTGGAATCCCAGCACTTTGGGAGGCTGAGGCGGGTGGATCACGAGGTCAAGAGATGGAGGCCATCCTGGCCAACATGGTGAAATCCTGTCTCCACTAAAAATACAAAAATTAGCTCGGCACAGTGGCATGCACCTGTAGCTCCAGCTACTCAGGAGGCTGAGGCAGGAGAACTGCTTGAACCAGGGAGGCGGAGGTTGCAGTGAACCAAGACTGTGCCACTGCACTCCAGCCTGGTGCCTGGTGACAGAGTGAGACTCTGTCTCAAAAAAAAAAAAAAAAAAAAAAAAAAAGGTTGCAAATGAACAGACCCATAAGAAAGCAGAAAAAAGATTTTTAGTAAATACAGTTTAGAGAGGACCAGTTCAGGTAAAAAGTGTATCGTCAAAATTTGAGTTTTAAGAGGAATTTTTCACTCTGTATTTAACATTTCAAAATCTGATTTAAAATGTTCTTCAACATGTTTGAATTTTCCCTCAGCACCTAACTCAGGTTTCACTGTAAATGCAGCTCAATAAAACTAACACCAAATGGAGAAAAAACATCTCTGACATTTATTTTTCAAAACTTCTTATGTTACTTCCTTTAATCAAGTCTTGTTATTCCTTACCTATTTTTGTAAACAATATTACTTTCATCTTTGTTTTTCACTTTACATTCATTGACTATTTTTATTTTATTTTACTTTTTTAACTTTTATTTTAGGTTCAGGAGTACATGTGCAGGTTTGTTATGTAAGTAAACTGAGTGTCATGGGGTTTTGGTGTACAGATTTCATCACCTAAGTAATCAGCATAGTACGGAAAATATAGTTTTTTGATCCTCACCCTCCTCTGACCCTCCACCCTCAAGTAGGCCCCAGTACCTGTTGTTCCCTTGTATACACATGTACTCAATGTTTAGCTCCCACTTATAAGTGGGAAGATACGGTACTTGGTTTTCTGTTCCTATATTAGTTTGCTTAGGATAATGACCTCCAGCTCCTTCCATGTTGCTATAAAGGACATGATCTCATTCTTTTTTATGGCTGCATAGTATTCCATGGTGTATATATACACTTTCTTTATCTAGTCTACTAATAATTCTGAGGTAGATGTGATTAATTCTGTTTATAGATGGCGAAAACAATGACATGGTTTGTCCAATGTGGAATCATCATGAATCAACAGGGCTGAATCTCAAATCTTCCAAGATTACAACCCTCTCCCTTGCCCCATGTATTTTAAGCTTCACCAAAGTTTCATCTTGCAAACCAACACTTTTGTGCTTATTTCTTAAATAGTGACAATCTAATTCATCAGTTTTGTGTTAGAGAACAAAAAAATGGTACAGTACAATAATTTTAGGTTAAGCTGATATCCATTAAGGAAGGCATCATGGCAATTATTTCAATGCTGACAAGTAGTGTGTGGGTACCTGTCTCATTGTTCTGCTTCAGTTGCTGACAGTGTTCTAAATGAAGCTTCAGTTCTTTGTGAGAATTCTATTTAAGGTTTTAAAACCAGTTTCTCTTTTTTTTTTTTTCAAAAGTGTCATCATAACCAATCTTACGCGATGAGGAAAGTGTTGGGGGGGGCGGAAATCTCTTTAAAAGGCTTCAAATACAATGATCCAAACCTATCACGACAGGGAATAAGTAAAGTAATATAGTAGATTAAATAAATTCCTACAAATGAAAGTTTTAAAAAGAAACTGACATTAAATTTCTCCACTAATTTTAGTATTATTTTAAATGTAAGTGGCCAATATCAAGAAGCACTTTCCTCTTACTTCACAGTAGCACCACTTTGTGTTAGGAAGTGGAAAAAAGGCATTTGTGACAGTTTATTTTTAGATATTGATTATCTCATCTTGCTGCAAAGGGAATAAAAATAATTAAAGCTGAGTGAAAAATAATTTGAAGCACAGCATATTTCAAAGCATAACCATCATCATAACTGTTCAGATGAGATTTCTTGAAAGCCTGGTAATAAATGCATGCCCTAGTTTTTCTTTAAAGTCTACACCTTGCTTATTCAAATTGGCCTCTTTTACTGGCAGCTTAAGTTTAATTCCTATCTTCAGATACTTCATACAATTCCAATCAAATGCAGTGATTAGTATGTATATAATGGCTGAATTAGATGATTAGATGAACATTAACTGTTTGTAAGCATGTAATTTATTTTAAAGTATATTTAAATATTTGTCTAAGTTGTGTTCCTCTGGCAAACTTAAAGCAGTATTTCTTCAATGTACTTAACATTCTTTTTTTTATAACTCAAATTCATTTTAGAAAATAAAAATTCATTTGGAAAAATACAGAAAAGTAGAGTCTAAATAAAATCACCCATAGTTTCACCATAAAGAAATAAACACTTAACTATTTTATTTCATTATTTTACCTATTAATCCTTATTCTTATTTCTACTACAGGTAGCAACAGACCACAGAGCCCAAAAAAACTTGATACTGAAGAGAGATATCATCACGTAACAGTAGAAAAAGAACAAATTATTTAAAAGATAATTTAAAAGCACAAATATATCATGCCTATAATTACATTTCCTCTAAAAGACATGTTTGAATATGTTCTAGTCAAATCACCCAAGTCTCCTGCATTTCTCCATGCCTTATATCAGACTTAATTCAACCATTTATATCAGCTGCTGGACCCTGAAGGCATCTGATTTGGGGATTCCTGGCTTAGATAATATGGAAGCGAAAAATCATTTTGGTAATTAGATCATTGTTAAAAGCTGTTAGGCACATTTGCTTGTATGTGTACAAAAGTAAGTAAAACTAATAGTGTCTTAGAGCAAAAATCTGAGATTGTTATCTGAATGGGGTAATTTTTTGAAAGGCAATATACCTTAGTCATCCCCATTGAAAGTGTCAAACTAACAGATATTATTTTATTATAATTGTTTATTTACAGGTCAGGGAGGTTCCCTTTATATTGTCTGGTAAGTTAACTGAGGTATATGCATAGTTTCCCAAAAAATATTAAACATATTTGATTTCTTTAGAATGATTTGCCTTTGAGAAACTTTTAAACCAGTATCTTACAAACTCTTGGTACACAGGATACTTCCCATTATTAGAATATAAAGTTGCCAATAAATTAACAGAAAGAAAGTTTGTCAGCTAATACCTGTTGCACAATTGTTGTCAACTCCAGGCAGAGTTGTATGACATTATTTCTTGTAACTGAATAGTCTGTCACAGCAGCAAATGGTGACCTATAAAGGGAAAAGGAAAGTTGTGATTACTAGGAACAGCTTTTGAAAAGTCCCAAAATATAGTAGCCTAAAATGCGTTTTTCGATAATATGAAATAGATTATATAATATTATAAAATAAATGTTCTGAAATTTGCATATTGATAAAAATATTCAGGACTTATTTTAAGGAAAGATTTGAAGAAAATAATTGGAAGAGAATTAAATTCAAGAAATATAATGTTTGCTTTCTACCAAATTTCTCTCTCTCTCTTTTTTTTTTTTTTTCTGAGACGGAGCTCCACTCTTGTTACCCAGGCTGGAGTGCAATGGCAGGATCTCGGCTCATCGCAACCTCCGCCTCCTGGGTTCAAGCAAATGAACCCTGGTCACCATGTTGACCAGGATGGTCTCGATCTGTTGACCTTGTGATCCACCCGCCTCGGCCTCCCAAAGTGCTGGGATTATAGGCATGAGCCACCACGCCCGGCCTCAAATTTCTCTCTTTTTAAAGTTCTTAATTATTTAGAAGTTTTTTGGCTTTTACAAGGTATATTCACTATATCTAAAACAAAAATGGAATACTTTAGGCAAAGATAACATTAGTTTATTTTCACAAGAACCCAAGATTCTGAGTACAGTATCTACTTAGAATATTCACAATTAAGAGCTAGTAATAACAACGGCTAAGGTTTACTGAGGGCTTACTATGTGCCAGTTACAATTCTAAATGCTTTACGTGTATTAGATAATTTAATCTTCACAACCATTATGAGATAGGTGCTATTATTATTCCTGTTTTACAGATGAGAAACATAAGGTAGAGAAAGATTAAGTGACTTGTCTAAGGTCACACGTCTAGTAAGTGGTGGACCTGTACACTGATTATTTTCAAGTGTTTGAAGCAGTTCATTTAGTCATAGGTATAATTCTTTTTATACATGTTTGGAGTTAGTTTGCTAATATTTTGGTGAGAGTTTTAACATCTAAGTTCCTGAGAAATATTGGTCTATAGTTGTTTTTTGTTTTGGGATTTTGTTTTGTATCAGGATAATGATTTCCTCATAAAATGCTACGGGAAATGTTTCTGCCTTCATTTCCTGGAAGAGATGGTGTAGAAATGGTGTTATTTCTTCTTTAAATACATAGAATTCACCAGTAAAATAATTTGCGCCTGGAGTTTTTTTTCCACACCCTGAAGTGTTTCTATGTAATATTTAATTTATTTAATAGTTACAGGATTATTCAGAGTATCTATTTCATCTTGGGTTATGTTCTAGTACTATTTTCCAAGGAAGAGGTCCATTTCATCTAAGCTGTCACATTTATATATGAAGTTATTTGTAATATTCCTTTTCTAACTTTTACATTTAGATTGACTATTTTATTGTTTCTGTTTTCAATTTCATTAATTTCTGCTCTTATCATTAAGAGCATCTTATCATTGCTCTATGCTTATTTTGTTCTTATTTTTTCTATTTTGTTGAGATGGGGACTTAGATGATTGATTAAGATCTTTCTTCTTTTCTGATATAAAGCATTCAGTGCTTCTGATATATATATATATATATATATATATATATATATATTTACTATATATTTTTCTGATATATCTTGAATATATATTTCTGATAATATATAAGCATTCAGTGCTATACACTTCCTTTTCAGCACTGCTTTAGCTGTGTGCACAAATTATGATTTGGTCTTTTTTCATTCTGTTCAATGTATTACTTTTTAGTTTTCATGAGACTTCTTTGTCCATTGGATTACTTAAAAGTGTGCTATATGAGTGACTAGTTTCATTTTATTATCTGGTTTCAATTCTTTTAAACTTGTTGAATTTTGTTTTATTATACAGATATGGTCTATCTGGAGGAATGTTCCATGGGCACTTGAAAAGAATTTTTATTCTCCTGCTATTGGATGAAGTGCTCTAAAAATGTCAATTACATCCTTTTGTTAGGTGGTGGTGCTCAGCTCCTCTAATCTTTACTGACTTCCTGTTTAATTCTGTCTATTCTTGAGAAAGAGGTAAATGAAGTCTACAACTATGGATTTGTCTGTTTCCTCTTTGATTCTGTCAGTTTTTGCTTCATGCACTTTAAAGTTCTGTTGTTTCATATACACATCTTACGAGTGATTTCTGTTTGTTGTTTTGTGATTTACCTACTTAAATGCTCATCTGTCACTTTTTGGTGTTTTATAATCAATATGAATATTCACATATATTTTATCAATATGAATATTCACATATGTGAATATTACATATTATACCTTAACCCTCTACTTTTCATGTTTGTTGCAAATATTTTTTTCAGCTTGTCATCTGTCTTATACTTTGTTACATTTTTTTTATGTAGTCAAACAGTATATTCCTTTGCATTTTATTCCATTTTTAAAATACTTAGAAAGTCTCTCCACATCTAGAAATCATTTTTGCCTGTATGTTTTCTAGTTTTCTTATAAATTTACATTTCCTTCTTAAATAGCTGATACATCTAAAATTTATTTTAGTGAAGAAAAATAGATAGTGCTCTATCATTATTCATTTTCCAGTGGTTTTAACATGTTGTTTTCTAAATGAGGGCAATTTACTAAATGGCCCTTCCTTTTTCCAGTGGTTTTAACATGTTGTTTTCTAAATGATTTTATATACAGTCATGCGCTGCATAAAATGATGTTTTGGTCAACAACAGACCACATATACCATAGTGGTCCCATAAGATTATAATACCATATTCTTACTGTACCTTTTCTGGATTGTAAAGGTGGTCGTATAAGTGTTACTGAAATTTACTAAACCCCATCAAACTGTATACTTAAAATAGGTTAATTTATATAATATAAATTAGGCCTCAATAAAACTATTTTTTAAAGATGAAAAATGTAAGCACTTCAAGGAGAAAATCATTTACTTAAAAAATTACTTTGGGAGGCTGAGGCAGGTGGATCACGAGGTCAGGAGTTAAAGACCAGCCTGGCCAAGATGGTGAAACCCCATCTCTACTAAAAATATAACAATTAGCCAGGTGTGGTGGCAGGTGTCTGTAATCCCAGCTACTTGGGAGGCTGAGGCAGGAGAATCACTTGAACCCGGGCGGCAGAGGTTGCAGTGAGCCAAGATCACACCACTGCACTGTGGGCTGGGCAACAGAGTAAAACTCTGTCTCAACAACAACAACAAAAAAACATGCAAAGTCCATTTCTGCTGCATTGAATCATAAAAAGTGGCATATTAAACTAAGAATTCAAAAATGCTTCTGGCATGATTAGAAAAGGGTTCAGATTCCTAGGTTTGAAAAGGTCAGAGTCTGTTTATAAAATCTAAAATTTCATTAAGAAGTGATGAGGTGATACACAGCATTTTTTTTTTTACCATAAGTACTTAAAAGAATCTCATTTGATTCTCAAAATATAGAAAAAGAAAAATCTATTTGATCACTAAATGTCTGCAGCGAACTGAATTCTAAGGCATGTTTTCCACTTTCCTGACCATTGATATTTTAAGTAGGACAATCTTCTCACTCAAGATTAAATTTCAAGAAAAAAATGAAAAGAAAAATCTAAACACATATCAAGGAAATGATTTTATTTTGTAGTGATTAAGAATTACCCTAAAGTTTTAGTCTGAGGCAAATCGTATACAACTGTACTAACAGCCATTCTTACCCAGCAGATTTTAATGTTTGATATGATGATTTGGGCTATATCTACATATAAATAAGGGTAAAAGGTCAGGTGGGGTTCCAATCTTTGTGGGTTACCAAAGATTACCACTCAGTCATGACTTAATGATCATTTATGGGAGGAAAAACAATATATTAGAATAAATGAATATAATCAGCACCCATGCGCGCGCGCGCGCGCACACACACACACACAGGCACACACGCAAACACACAAAAAAACCAAAACCAAAAATAAAAAAACTGTTCTTAAGTCTGAGGAAACGCTCAGGGTACTTACAAGAAAAACACAATAACCCTAAGTAAAGGAAATCAAATTCATAGCAAGAAAGCTTTTTGATGCCAGGAAGAGAAACACAGACAAAATCCTTGGATAATTTGTAAGTGGCCATTACAGGAATTATCCTATTTAGATTGTAAAAAGTAAGCAACTGGGGAGGATCCAAGATGGCCCAATAGGAACAGCTCCAGAGTGCAGTTCCCAGAAAGAACAACGCACAGGGTGAGTGCTCATTGCATTTATAAAGAAGTTTTCACTGCCCACAGACCAGGAGATGCCTGGGCTGAAAAGCACCGTGAGTTTTCAGCACGGATGGTGCCACGGGTTGGCGCACAGAAACTCACACAAATCTGGGCAGTCATTTCAACTGGCACCTGGAATGCTTGAGAGACAGAGCCGCCCATTCAACTGAAAGTGAGGGGGCTGAGACAGGGAGCCAGGCGATCTGGTTCAGTGGGTACCACCCCAACAAAACAAGCAATCTGAAACGCTCTGGATTGAGAGTTTCGCAGCAAGTGCAGCTGGACCCAGGATGGTCCAGCTCAGTGAGGGGAAGGGTGTCTGCCTCTAGTGAGGCAGTCTGCCAATATCCAGGCAGTTCACACAGCAGCTGGGCAGATGCTGCAGCAGCTAAGCAACACCTCTGCTGGCAGACTGTGACTAGACCACTCAATGTGGGGCAGGGCATCTCTGAAAAAAGGCAGCAGCACGTCAGGAACTTATAAATAAAGCCGACCTTCCTAGGTCAGAGCACCTGGGAAAAGAGGCAGTTATGAGTTCTGCTGCAGCACACATAAAGGTACCCGCCCAGCAGCTCTGCACGGAACAAATGAGCTCCAAGCACAGCATTTGAGCTCCTATAAGGGACAGACTGTATCCTCAAGCAGCTCCCAGACCCCTGTATACCCAAAGAGCCACCTCATAAAGGAGGGCTCAGGCTGACATCTGGTGGGTACCCTTCTGGGATGAAGATAACAGAAGAAGAAACCAGCAGCAACCCTTACTGTGGCAGCCCCTGTGGGTGATCCCCATGCAAGCAGGGTTTGGAGTGGA